AGGGAAGAAGAAAAGAAAAAAAAGTAAAAAAGGGCGGGAAAAAAGATGCAGAAAGGATTAAATTAGGTTGGGGAAGGGTAACGAGCTTATAAGTATATAGGATCATTATTATTTTTATACAGTTAGTTGTTTATAGTAATGATAATAATGAATAATGATGATAGAAAAATTTATAATACGACAACAACAATAAAAGTCACAATTATCATAATGATGATAAAAATAATGATAACGATAATTATAATAAAGATAATAATGATGAAGATGATAATAATGAAAATGATAAAGATACTAATAATGATAATATAATCATGACAAAGCCAAAAATATTATAATTATCATCAGTATCATTATCATTATTACAATCATTCAAATCCCAATGCTTTTCGTCATAATTCATCATCACCAACACTACCACCACCACAATCATAATTATAAATATTTTGTGCTGCGCTGACAGGTTCTTCTTTTTGAAAATAGACATTTCCTTGTTAATGATGTTTCCAACGGTCCGCCATTTCCCGTGATCTATTTTCCATATCCACGGACCGTAGAAACTCCAAGGTCCCGGATGTGTTTTTATGAGTGATCCGGGACTTCGGGGGAAAAGGCGGGGGAGGCAGGGATTCGGGGGAAAAAAAGGCGGGAAAAGGAAGGGAGGGATGGAGAACGGGGGAAAAAAAGGAAAGGGGAATAGGAAGGAAGGAGGGAGGGAAGAAAAAAGGAGGGAAGGGAGAGGGGAAGGGAAGGAGGGGGGGGAGGATGAGGGCAGGAAAATGAGGGAGGGAGAGGGAAAAGATGGAGAGGATGAAATGAATGGAAGGGTAGGGAGAGGGAGGGAGAGGGAGAGGGAGAGGGATGAGGGAAGAGGGAGAAATGATAGAAATGATAAGAGACAAGAGAATAGATCAAATAAAAAAGAACGTCATTAGACAGACGTAAAAAACCAAAAGAGAGATAAGAGATGAGAAATAATAATCATGATACTGAATATTGTTAATGTATAATAACAATAACAATATTATACATAATGATAATAACAACAACGACAACAATAACAACAAAATAAAGATCGCTTCTACATATAAATTATAACAAGCAAATTCACTCTAAATCTTTCATTATGGTTTCGATTGTTTGAACTGATTAAAAAAAAAAAAAAAAAAAAGATGTAACCGTAAATTCATGAATCGTGACCAAACAGCGCTCCCCTTCTCTCTCTCTTCTCTCTTCTCTTTCTTCGCTCTCTCTCTCTCTCTTCTCTCTCTCTCTCCTGCCTTTTTCCCTATCTCCCTTCTCCCTTCTCCCTCCCGCCCTCCCTTCCCTCGCCTTTTTACTCTCTCCCTGTCTCCTTCCCTTCCTTCTCCTCTCCCTCCTTCACTCCCCTCTCACCTCCCCACCCACGCCCCCTCTCTTCCTGTCACTCTCTCACAGGTATAAAAATGCCAATGGTAAGTTAATGACCCTAATGGCAATAGTAAAGAAGGTCGTTTTTTTATGGCAGGACATAAACAGAGAATTAACGCTTAATGATGAGAAGCGAATGAGAAAATTGAGATTGGATAGGCAAGGAAAGGCGAGAGAAAATTGGATAAAAGGATAGAGAGAAATGCATTGAATTTAAAAAGTAATTTGGGGGGGGGGTAATGGAAGAGATAGATGGGTAAATGGATAGATAGATAGAGAAAGATAGGGATAAATGTTGGGTAGAAGGATAGAGGGAAAAGTACTTGGGGGGGGATAATGGACGGGATAGATGGTAAAATGGATAGATAGATAGAGAAAGAGAGGGATAAAGTTGGGTGGAAGATTAGAGGGAAAAGTACTTGGGGGGAAAATAATGGAAGGGATAGATGGGTAAATGGATAGATAGATAGAGAAAGATAGGGATAAATGTTGGGTAAAAGGATAGAGGGAAAAGTACTTGGGGAGGGGGGGATAATGGAAGGGATAGATGGGTAAATGGATAGATAGATAGAGAAAAGATAGGATAAAATAAAAAGGATAGAAAATACATTGGATAGATGGGTAATATGGATAAATAGATAGAGAAAGAGAGGGATAAATGTTGGGTAAAGTACTTGGGGGGGGATAATGGAAGGATAGATGGGTATGGATAATAGTACTTTGGGGGAAAAAGTACTTTGGGGGGAAAAATAATGGAAGGGATAGATGGGTAAATGGATAGATAGATAGAGAAAGAGAGTGATAAAGGCTGGATAAAAGGGTAGAGGGAAAATACATCGGATTATAAAGTAATTAGGGAAAAAAATAATGGAAGGGTATAAAAGGATAGATAAATTGACAAAGATAGGAATAAAGGCTGGATAAAAGAATGGAGGGAAAATATATCGAAAAAAAATCATGTGAGGATAAAAACAGAGATGGAAAAATGGATAGACAAATAAAGAAAGAGATAAAGAAAAATACAGGCTACAACCCAGAAGAATATCAATAAAAAACTAAAACTAAAAATATATATAAAAAGAAACTAAAACAA